GGCAACTTTAATAAAAATAATTAAAATAATTACAACTTTACAAAAAGAGAGAAGTTGCCGATCTTGCCCCTATACCCGGGGCAACTTCATCAATTTCTCTCTTTTTGTAAAGTTGTAATTATTTTAATTATTTTTATTTCCAAACTGATTTTAACCAGTTCTATAGTAAGATAACATTCCAATAGACAATATGCAAAGCTTTTTTTTCAGTTTACAGCAGTATTTATTACACAAAATTTAAGTAAAGCTTAACATGCCGATCTTGCCCCGGTCTCCCCTATAAGTAATAATATTGCTTCTATGCCAATAGTATTTGGCGCATAATAATATTACCGTTGTTCTTATGTCAAACAAAGAAAATTTAATTACAGTTAATAATCCTTATTTAGAAAGAGGTTAATGGATCAAAAATTACAAAGAAAAATTATCTGATTTATATTGATTTAGTTCACATTCTGAGTGTCATTAGCTGCATTGAGTTGTCATCTTAACAAGAAAATAATATGGATGGATGACCACTCGCGAGACATTCTTTTCTAGTCAAAATACGATCAATATCATTATCATTGATAACGGAGACCAATATAGATTAATCTTAGATCCATCACAGATTAATGATTTTAATCATTGCAAAAAAAGAAACATTTTTTATTATTTATTATGTCAGGACATCCAATTTTTAATTAAGAATATCTTACAACAATCCCTAGAAGGATGTCCGATTATTAAAAGAAAACAAGATATATTAATTAAATAAAAGAAATTAGGAGCTCATTTCTGATGCAATGGTTCTCAGCTTTTTTAAGCTAGTAGCACCCTCATAATTTTTAGTTGCACATCGACCAGCCAGTAACGTATCAAAGATGCTCTCATATGTACAGCATAAACAGATGTAATGCTGAAGATCTGTAGTTTTTCATATTAATAATATACAAATAATATTAAAATGTAGACAATAAATAAACATTTTTAAATGATTTTTGAAATTTTGCGTTAACCCCGTGACACTCCAGTCGAAAACCAGAATTCTAATCTAATTTTATCTGCAGTTTAATAAACACTCGGTGCAATTGTGACAGATAATAAAATTTATTAATTGATAACTATTACTGTTAAACTGAAGACAGAATCGGCCAGAAGACCCAGATAGATATAAAAATATTATCCTAATGCTGTGGGGCTAATCGAACTCGAATTCGATTCAAACCTTGATAGTAGTCTATAGTTTAACACGTCATCTTACTGAGGTCGAACCCACTCTCCGATGAAATAACAATTGTATAATATAAAAGTACACGTGAAAACATTCTCCAACATTCCCGGAAGTTCTATATTCAAGTTAAATAGTATTTTTACTAATTATGAATTTAGTCGGATATGTTATATCCGACTAATCAATTAATTGAAATATATTACAAATAAGTTCTTCCAATTGCAGGATTCAGGCTCACTAGAGGAGACTTTACAAATGATTCTGTATTCTAAGTATTTAAAGTTAATAGATAAATATTCCAGTTAAACAACATTTAACATTAAATCATACTTCAGAATATCAAAAT